CCCTTCAAGAGGAGCGGTACCAAACAAGTGTTTAGGCAGTCTTTGGCGGGGCTCGTTGTCTAGTGGCTCCGGCTCCTACTGCACTGTGTCACACTGTGGGCCTATTTTGCAGGGCTCTGGCTCCTCTGAAAATGGCTCCGGCTCTTGCTCCTCTGAAGGAGCAGCTCCTCTGGAGGAGCTGAAGCCGTTCTGAAAAACGTTTGGCAAAACGGCTCCTTCGCACTAGACGACGTGAACCCACAGCAAGGAGCCGCGCGAAGCTCGTTTTTTAGGCTTCTCCTGCACAGGCAAAAAATGGCTCCGGCTCTTGACCGGCTTCCCATGCGGAGCCCTGTAACACCCCGGTGTTATGCCTACATTTAGGCACTGCAAATCCCGCATATCATGCATCATCAAGCATCCTATTCATACATGCGTAATCTTGCATATAACAACTGAATCATTACTTCGAAACATACGAAACATGTTTGTGAAACGTAAATGATGCATACACTTATTAGAGTTGTTTTGCTCTGATTCTTGCTTGCTAGTTGAGTAGAAACTGTTGGTTATGCTTGTAAATCATCTAGAATTGTTTAGCAAAAATTTTGGAGCAAGGTTTGTATTCAAATTAATTCAAAACTTTGCTTCCAAAGTAAATTCCCAAAATTAGGGTTTTGAGTTAAAATTTAACTTTGATTCTATAATTTAAAAATCTAGATAGAATTGGACTTTGGTCATAAAAGCAAAGTTGTAGGGAATTGAATTCAAAGCAACTTTCATTTTTGGTACATTTTCAAAAGAGGTCATTTACTTGCTCAAAATAATGTTTGAAAGTTGGCATTTAAAATATCTTGAATTTTATTTGAAAAGGAATTTTCTCCTTGGCAGGCGGGCCGCCTCTGTCAGCCCACCAGCCAAGCCGGCCCGCCCTCAGATCAGCGCGCGCCTTGACTCACCCCTCGCCTCGGCCCGGTGGCTCGCCGTGGCCCGATCCACTGCCTGTGCCTTCTCCTCCATGCTTGCGCGCCTTGCCGCAGTGTCAGCATGCGCACAGGTGGAAGGCGATATGCCGGTGACACCGCCGGGTGGCGTCGATGGCCCCCATAAGCGCGCGCCAAGGGCGCCGATATCACGCCACCGCAGCTTCGCATCCCCGCTGTCCGAGCGCATCTCTCCGCACTCAGCCAGCCGCAGCAGCTCCTTCCGCGCGCAGTGAGCTCGCCACCGAGCGCCGCGGTCGTTCCGCCGGCGAATTGCTCCCCCTCCCTCACCTCATTCTCCGATTCCTCGCGCCAGCAGCTCCGCCTCGTCAAGCCCCTTCAGTTGCGCCCGTGTGTGGCTGCCGTCGGCAAGGTGAGAGGCCGTGGTGACCGTTTTCTTCCTCGCTCGGCCATGGCCAAGCTCGTCGGAGCTCGTGCCGCGCCGGTGAACCGCTCCACCTCGGTCTTCCTTATCTCGCGCATCAGTACCGCTCTGCCCCGCGACCTTTGTGCGCGCTTTTCCGTGGGTTGCCGTGGCCGGGAAGCGCCGCCCGCAAGTACGCCGCGCCGCCGCGCCTGTGCAAACGCCGGTGAGGCGCTCTGCCTCGGTGGCAGCCGAAGGAAGCCGGGCCGACGCCTTGGCAAATCTCCCCTCCCTCGCTTTCCGGGCAGCAGAGGGCGGTGATGGCCGTGGGCCAGCTGTTCTCTTCAGGCCGGCCCAGTATTGTTTAAAGTGAATTGATTTCCTTTATTATTTGTTATTTAAAATCAAAAATGGTTTGAAAAAATGTTTGGATGATCAAACTTGTTCCAAATTTGTTGAAACAAAATTTGCTAGGTTCCTTATCACCAGATCTACTTGGGAAAAATAGTGCATGTCATTTTTGATATACTTTTCTATAGGATTTTATTTAATCTTGAATATTGCTGATAACTTGAAAAATATGTAGAAAAATATATAGGCTTCAGAAAAATATGAGTCCAAGTTTGTTAATCTTCATATGTCATGTACTTCCTAGGAAAATTATGTTTCATGCATGTGCTGTGGGAAAATTTTGAGGTGTAGTTCAAGTACCTTTAATGACTGATTTTTGTTATTTTTGCTAGAGCACAAATTTTGTATAACACATGCATGTGACAATTTTTGTACAGTGATTATATACTATAAAGAACATAGGAAAAATACTCAATCTGTTGTTTGACACTTTTCATAGTACAAAGTAATTTTATGCTCATTTTATGCTATAACTTGTCATTTTGTGTAGGATAGTTTACTTATCCAAATGCCATGAAAATTTTATGGTAGTCTGCTTAGAGTAGTACTATGCTACTGTAATTTTCTTAGATTTTTATAAGCACCAGAAATATAGGTTGCTGTTGTAGCCTTAGTTTCAAATGAAATAAAATAATCCTCTTTAATGCAAGTTAGTTAATAATGTTAGCTTTGGTGTATCTTTGAAGCATTTAATAAGATGTGTTGACTTAACCTATTAGTAGTAGAAGAGAATGCAGTAGATGACATGTGCTTGTAGTATATTTTCTTGGATGATGTGACTACCTTGCTTTTCAACATATCCATTGCATTCATCTCCTTCGATGCACCGATTGCATAGGCACTTACACGCATTGCATCATACAGGATCGCAAACCGAGAACCCGGTCGTCATTCCCGAGGAGCCCGAGGAGCAGCTCGAGTGTGCCGCAGAAGTGCTAGAAGCCGACGAGGAGGACGTTGAAGAACTCTCCGAGTGCCCCGATCACCGCCTCGAGCTCCTTCGAGAGAGAGGCAAGCCCCGAGCATCTTTCTCCCGGTTTGCAATGATTTCATTAAATACTTTACTTTAAATTGATGCATTACGTTCAGGAGTTGTTTGCAACCGCTTTGCATTATACCTTGTTTACCTTTGTTATACTATATCCTTGTTACCCCGGTATCCGCAATGAAGTCAATGCTTAGTGGCTTAGACCGGTAGAAGTCGGGTGATTTCTGTCACTGCGAGCTATAGGTGGTTACCTAGATCTGTTTGGATGGCTATGAAGTCATGGTATAACTAAGTGTTAAATGAAGTTGAGACAAAGGCGGAGACTTACTGGGGTTTTCAATTGTAGTGTTTCCGTCAGGTGTCGATTAAGGACCAACCGTTGTTGGGCCTCGAGTCATGTTGAACGCATGCCTTACATTTAGGCTGGCGGATAAAGTACCTTCCGACCATGGTGGTGGGAGATTTTCGGCCGAGTAGATTGCCCATGGCAAGCCCGTGTGCGAAAGCGGTGTGGTAGGACACGGGCGGGATGATAAGACCAAAGTACGATCGGTCGGCCCCCGGTACATGTGGTTCTGGCAAACTCGAGATACGGAAAGTTGACTCGGTGATCAATATCTCACTTTAGCGGGTGAGTGAGATTTGTGTAAGGAATAAATCACCAGCTGGTTAGGAATCGATTCGAATCGCCATCGCTCCTGGATAGTGAGTACTTGACTTGAGTTACTTCATCGTAGTAATGTTTATGGAACACTTGGACAGTTATAGTGAATATGACAGTATGGAAGTTGTTTAATGATCAGTGGTTATCATTAATTGCTTAATCACATGTTTACTCTAGTATAGGTGCAAATCTAGTCGATAGGTTAATAATAATTAACTTGACAATAATGCTTTTAGAAAGGTTCTTGAAATGCTAAAAATGCTTCTTTTGCAAATGAGTCAGCTACCCTACTATAAAGCCTGCATAATCCTTGGTGTCATTTATTTTCGGTTATGTCGGGTAAGTCTAGCTGAGTACCTTCTCGTACTCAGGGTTTTATTCCCACTTGTTGCAGATGGGCAGATGTATTACGGCTATTGTATCAACTGCCTCTATCCTGCGATGGGTGATGCTTAGGACCATGGGCATGGTCATTCCTTACGTCTCATCTAATGCTTTTGTTGGAGATGATCATTCGCTGGCACTATATTTAAACTCCGTGTGAGTGTGTGTGTGTGGTTTGAACAAATGACTTCCGCTACTTTTATTCGAACTGGTTTGTAATAACTATGTTTAAACTCTGATGTATCTGAGATTGCGAACTTTTATGTAATATGTGATGGTGACCGCTAAACTTATTACGATCATGGCTGGGACACGAGTTGGTTTGAAATCCTTTGTGATTTCACGGACTACCGGGTTATACGGGCTTAAGTTTGTTCAATCGTCTGCTCTGGTGGATGATTTTCTTACTTAATTTCGTATAATTGGTCGGTTCTGTTACAAGCCCTTTCTAAAACAGACGTTTAGCACAGCTCTTGCAGGAGCCGGAGCTGAAGCTCTTGCAGAAGCCCTGCCAAAGAGGCTCTGTAACTGCGATAAAAGGGCTCCGGCTCCTCCTTAGCACATGAGACAAGCAGGCGGAGCCTCGTTTCGCTGGCTCCCAAACAGGCTCTTACTCGTATGTCTTCGCGCTAGCTGCTCGCAGCTAGAGATCGTGGACCCGCCACCGCCGGCTCTACTCGTCTGTCTTTGCGCGAGCTGCTCGCAGCTAGAGATCATGGACCCGCCACCGCCGGTACCTCCAGCAGTCCAGCCGCTTCCACAAGTCCCCGCGAGCCAGAGGCTCCGGGGAACGACTAGCGAGAACGTAGCGAAGCACGTTTCGTGGAGCACTCTCGTGCTTTGCAGCCCTGCACCTCTGCACGGCCGCGCAACTGCGCAGGACTGAGACACCCTTGCTGTAAGTTGGAACTTCCGTCGACCACGGCCATACAAGCCATTAGCAGGACCAGCAAATATTCCACGTCAATTAAGGATTATAACTGAACACAGCGGGGGCAACGCCGCAACGCAATAAGCAGAAGTGCAAGCTCAACATTCAAGGATCAAAATACTGCAGGCGGTAGGTACACACTCCGGTTAACAAACTGATGAAAGTCACATGAACGTCAGTTCAAGATAACCAGTTAATCCTCCAAAACAAACATAAGCTACAGTTCGCAACAGAGACATGGCTTCCGTGAACCCAGAGAAAGGGCATAGCTAGCTGCAAGTTGACTGGTTGGGCGATCAGTTCAGGTTCCTCAGCACGATGATGACCGAGTCGCCCCTGAGGAACATCTTGCTGATGAATTTATCCTTGTTCACACGCAGAGCCTTCTTTTTGCCCTTGCCAGTCTTGGGGACCTGGAAAGAAATGAATCCCAGGTCAATTGCACTTTCACAAATTAAAATCTTCTAGGATCATGAGAAATAATCAGTCTGATAGCTGAGTTCATTACCTCCGTCCACATCTCCCGCACGTTCTCGAGCACCATGTTACAGTGGCGATCAAAACCATGTTACAGTGGCGATCAAAAGCACGAACCCGACCAAGTAGCTTCTTGTTGTTGCGGCAATTGATGAGCACCTGAATACATCAGGAAATCAGTTTTCGCTTTATTGACTAATTACAGACAAAATATAGCAGTAGGGCATAAAATGGTGAGAACATGCTTAAATATCAAATTATTCCAGAGAATAAGATCAGCAGATGTACAGCAAAACAACAACTACTTTGAACACAGCATGTATAAGCTGTAGAATTAACTGCAGCATTCATGAAGACACAGAAGATAGTGTTTTTAATGCAACAATGGATATTAAGGTTTTTGATTGGGAGCAAATTGGCAGAAACAAGTGCATAACAGAAGCTGAGTCATGTATAGTGTCATTTCCATTCAGCTTCAAACTTGTATGGACACTAATATAGCACTATACATGACTCAGCTTCTGTTAAGTACCTGGGTGACTCAGCTTATGTTAAGGTGTCTCAAACATGTATCCTCAAACTTGTATGGAGCCCAAAAAACAAAAACTAATAGCACAGTGCACATAAGTTTCTAACTTGAAGGAAAGTAGGAAACAGTATAAATTGCATACCTGGGTGTTGTTCTTAACACTCATCATTAGGACTGACAGAGGGCCTGTGCTAAATTCCTCCCCCTCTTTCTTTCCAGCCTGCTGTAAATAGTTAGAAAAGAGACAGTGTTAGCCATCTCTATGTATTAACAAAGGTGAGAAATGCAACGGACACAAATTATGCATTCCAATGGGCGTACCCAGTGCAGAGAGCTCCCGCTCTGTGCGGGGTCTGAGGAAGGCTGTCAGTGGCAAGCCTTACCCTCGCTTGTGCAATGCGAGGAGACCGCGACTTGAACCGGGACCTTCTGGTCACAGGCGCAAACATAAGCTACAGTTTCCCAACAGAGACATGGCTTCCGTGAACCCAGAGAAAGGGCATAGCTAGCTGCAAGTTGACTGGTTGGGCGATCAGTTTGGGTCCCTCAGCACGATGATGACCGAGTCGCCCCTGAGGAACATCTTGCTGATGAATCTATCCTTGTTCACAGGCCGAGCCTTCTTTTTGCCATTGCCAGTCTTGGGGACACGGAAAGAAATGAATCGTGTCAATTGCACTTTCACAAATTAAAATCTTCTAGGATCTTGAGAAACAATCGGTCGATAGCTGAGTTCATTACCTCCGTCCACATCTCCCATGACGTTCTTGAGCACCATGTTACGGTGGCGATCAAAAGCACGAACCCGACCAAGTAGCTTCTTGTTGTTGCGGTAATTGATGAGCACCTGAATACATCAGAAATCGTTTTCGCTTTATTGACTAATTCTGAGACAAAATATAGCAATGAGGGCATAAAATGGTGAGAACATGCTTAAATATCAAATTATTCCAGAGAATAAGATCAGCGAGATGTACAAGCAAAACAACTACTACTTTGAACACAAGGCATGTATAAGTTTGTAGAATTAACTTCTGACATTCATGAAGACACGAGAAGATAGTGTTTTTAATGCAACAATGGATATTAAGGTTTTTGATTGGGAGCAAATGGCACAAACAAGTGCATAATGAAGTTTGAGTCATGTATAGTGTCATTCCCATTCAACTTCAAACTTGTATGGACACTAATATAGCACTATGCATGACTCAAACACATTAAATCTTGGGTGACTTCGACTACGTAAAGGTGTCTCAAAACTGTATCCTCAAACTTGTATGGAGCCCAAAGAACAAAAACTAATAGCACGGTGCACATAAGTTTCTAAGCTGGAAGGAAAGTAGGAAAGCAAGTATAAATTGCATACACAGGTGTTGTTCTTAACACTCATCATTAGGGTGACAGAGGGCACTGTGCTAAATCCTCCTCCTCCTCTTTCTTTCCGCCTTCTTTGTAAATAGTTAGAAAAGAGACAAGTGTTAGCCATCTCTATGTATTAACAAAGGTGAGAAATGCAACGGACACAAATTATGCATTCCAATGGGCGTACCCAGTCAGAGAGAGCTCGCGCTGCTGTGTAGGGTGCTGGGAAGTGTGTCATGGCAAGCCTTACCTCGCTTGTGCAATGCGAGGAGATCATGACTTCGAACCGGGACCTTCCGGTCACAAAGCGCAAACATAAGCTACAGTTCCCAACAGAGACATGGCTTGCGTGAACCAATAGAAAGGGCATAGCTAGCTACAAGTTGTTGGTTGGGCGATCGGTTTGGGTCTCTCAAAGACGATGATGACCGAGTCGCCTCGAGGAACATCTTGGCGATGAATCTATCCTTGTTCACAGCGTGAGCCTTCTTTACGCCCTTTTGCAGTCTTGGGGACACGGAAAGAAATGAATCCCGTGTCAATTGCACTTTCACAAATTAAAATCTTCTAGGATCATGAGAAACAATCGGTCGATAGCTGAGTTCATTACCTCCGTCCACATCTCCCTTGACGTTCTCGAGCACCATGTTACAAAGATGGCGATCAAAAGCACGAACCCGACCAAGTAGCTTCTTGTTGTTGCGGCAATTGATGAGCACTGAATACATCAGAAATCAGGGCCGCTTTATTGACTAATTCTGAGACAACATATAGCAAGAGGGCATAAAATGGTGAGAACATGCTTAAATATCAAATTATTCCAGAGAATAAGATCAGAGATGTACAAACAAAACAACAACTACTTTCAACACAAAGCATGTATAAGCTATAGAATTAATCTGCAGCATTCTTGAAGACACGAGAAGATAGTGTTTTTAATGCAACAATGGATATTAAGGTTTTTGATTGGGAGCAAAATGGTAGAAACAAGTGCATAATAGAAGTTGAGTCATGTATAGTGTCATTCCCATTCGACTTCAAACTTGTATGGACACTAATATAGCACTATGCATGACTCGACACATTAAATCTTGGGTGACTCAAACACATTAAGGTGTCTCAAAACAGTATCCTCAAACTTGTATGGAGCCCAAAGAACAAAAACTAATAGCACAAGGCACATAAGTTTCTAAGCTGGAAGGAAAGTAGGAAACAATATAAATTGCATACACGGGTGTTGTTCTTAACACTCATCATTAGGGACCTGACAGAGGGCCTGTGCTAAATTCCTCCTCCTCTTTCTTTCACACTGTCTTTGTAAATAGTTAGAAAAGAGGCAAGTGTTAGCCATCTCTATGTATTAACAAAGGTGAGAAATGCAACGGACACAAATTATGCATTCCAATGGGCGTACCCAGTCAGAGAGAGCTCCGCTCTGTGCGGGGTCCAGGGAAGGTGTCACAGCAAGCCTTACCTCGCTTGTGCAATGCGAGGAGATCATGATTCGAACCGGGACCTTCCGGTCCACAGCGCAAACATAAGCTACTGATTTCCCAATAGAGACATGGCTTGCGTGAACCTGAGAGAAAGGGCATAGCTAGCTACAAGTTGACTGGTTGGGCGATCAGTTCGGGTCCCTCAAAGACGATGATGACCGAGTCGCCTCGAGGAACATCTTGTTGATGAATCTATCCTTGTTCACAAAGCGTGAGCCTTCTTTTCATCCTTGCGGTCTTGGGGACCGGAAAGAAATGATCCCGTGTCAATTGCACTTTCACAAATTAAAATATTCTAGGATCTTGAGAAACAATCGGTCGATAGCTGAGTTCATTACCTCCGTCCACATCTCCCTTGACGTTCTCGAGCACCATGTTACGATGGCGATCAAAAGCACGAACCCGACCAAGTAGCTTCTTGTTGTTGTGGCAATTGATGAGCACCGAATACATCAGAAATCGATTTTCGCTTTATTGACTAATTACAGACAAAATATAGCGAAGAGGGCATAAAATGGTGAGAACATGCTTAAATATCAAATTATTCGAGAGAATAAGATCGGAAGATGTACAACAAAACAACTACTACTTTGAACACGGCAAAGATGTATAAGTTTGTAGAATTAAGCTATGACATTCATGAAAACACAGAAGATAGTGTTTTTAATGCAACAATGGATATTAAGGTTTTTGATTGGGAGCAAAATGGCAGAAACAAGTGCATAACAGAAGCTGAGTCATGCATAGTGCTATGTTAGTGTCGCATGACTCAGCTTCTGTTAAGTACCTGGGTGACTCAGCTTCTGTTAAGGTGTCTCAAACCTGTATCCTCAAACTTGTATGGAGCCCAAAGAACAAAAACTAATAGCACAGTGCACATAAGTTTCTAACTGGAAGGAAAGTAGGAAACAGTATAAATTGCATACCTGGGTGTTGTTCTTAACACTCATCATTAGGACTGACAGAGGGCCTGTGCTAAATTCCTCCTCCTCTTTCTTTCCAGCCTGCTGTAAATAGTTAGAAAAGAGACAGTGTTAACCATCTCTATGTATTAACAAAGGTGAGAAATGCAACGGACACAAATTATGCATTCCAATGGGCGTACCTAGTGCAGAGAGCTCCCGCTCTGTGCGGTGTCTGGGGAAGGGTGTCAGTGGCAAGCCTTACCCTCGCTTGTGCAACGCGAGGAGACCGTGACTCGAACCCGGGACCTTTCGGTCACAGGCGCAAACATAAGCTACAGTTTCCCAACAGAGACATGGCTTCCGTGAACCCAGAGAAAGGGCATAGCAGCTACAAGTTGACTGGTTGGGCGATCAGTTCGGGTTCCTCAGCACGATGATGACCGAGTCGCCCCTGAGGAACATCTTGCTGATGAATCTATCCTTGTTCACAGGCAGAGCCTTCTTTTTGCCCTTGCCGGTCTTTGGGGACCTCGAAAGAAATGAATCCTGTGTCAATTGCACTTTCACAAATTAAAATCTTCTAGGATCATGAGAAACAATCGGTCGATAGCTGAGTTCATTACCTCCGTCCACATCTCCCTTGACGTTCTCGAGCACCATGTTACAAAAGTGGCGATCAAAAGCACGAACCCGACCAAGTAGCTTCTTGTTGTTGCGGCAATTGATGAGCACTGAATACATCAGAAATCAGTTTTTCGCTTTATTGACTAATTACTGAGGACAAAAATATAGCAAGTAGGGCAAAAATGGTGAGAACATGCTTAAATATCAAATTATTCAGAGAATAAGATCGGGAGATGTACAACAAAACAACTATTACTTTCAACACAAAGCATGTATAAGCTGTAGAATTAACTGCAAACATTCATGAAGACACGAAGATAGTGTTTTTAATGCAACAATGGATATTAAGGTTTTTGATTGGGAGCAAAATGGTAGAAACAAGTGCATAAAGAGTTTGAGTCATGTATAGTGTCATTCCCATTCAGCTTCAAACTTGTATGGACACTAATATAGCACTATACATGACTAAACCACATTAGAAATGCGTGGGTGAGTCGACTTCATTAAGGTGTCTCAAACCTATATCCTCAAACTTGTATGGAGCCCAAAGAACAAAAACTAATAGCACAGTGCACATAAGTTTCTAACTGGAAGGAAAGTAGGAAACAGTATAAATTGCATACCTGGGTGTTGTTCTTAACACTCATCATTAGGACTGACAGAGGGCCTGTGCTAAATTCCTCCTCTTTATTTCCAGCCTGCTGTAAATAGTTAGAAAAGAGACAGTGTTAGCCATCTCTATGTTTTAACAAAGGTGAGAAATGCAACGGACACAAATTATGCATTCCAATGGGCGTACCCAGTGCAGAGAGTTTTCGCTCTGTGCGGGGTCTGGGGAAGGGTGTCAGTGGCAAGCCTTACCCTCGCTTGTGCAATGCGAGGAGACCACGACTCGAAACCGGGACCTTCCGGTCACAGGCGGTAAGACTCTACCGCTTGCACCAGGCCCGCCCTTCTAAATTATGCATTCCAATGATTCTACCAAAAACTAAAAAGTGTAATTACTTCTCATCATTACATCTATGCTCATGAAGACAGCGTTCGAAATTTTGGTCAGATAGACCCAGATCTTGAAAAGTTGGTCAAAAAGCAATCTGGAATTGTGGATCAAAACCAAAACCAAAAGTTTTGGATCATTTACAGGGTTCAGAACATATTTGCAACTGCAATCACAACAATAGCATCTGGACTATTTAACTGACTGATGCAGCAAATAATCTTATAGTCCTTGACTAGCTACTAACATTGTTGCAAGAAGCCCCTATCAATTACTGTGAGTCTGGGACCAGTTCTGCCTTACTTGTTAGTTCAAACAAATAGTGATGCTTCTCTTGCGAAAAATATAACACGCATATGTGGCAGATAAAATAATTCTAAGTGTGTAGAAATAGCACCTTGCTTCAAACAATTGAAAGTAACAGTTAACAATTGACTAAGTACTTTCAACAAATATAATTGTTGGGATTAGACAATTGAAAAGGTTTTGACGTAAAAATTCAAATGTTCTACCTCAACTAGCTAGCTAGCCTAGTTCTAGGGTAAGGAAAACAAGATCTAAAAATCAAAGCTAAAAGCCTTCCAGAGTATCTTAAACTGAAATTCTAACCTAAATAATGGGGTTTCCCCAGAGTAATCTCTTGCTTCTAAAAGCATAACAGCAAATCGAAACAAGGAACCTGCATCTTTAAATAGGTCCAAGGGAGGAACTTACATTCTCATCCGCCATCGCCTAGCCTCCGCCCTCCTGCGAAGGGGAAAACAAAGAGCAGCCCAGTTAGCCAAGCTGACACGCGAAAAAAACACAAACGCAAAGGATCAAGTCCGCATCTAAACAATATTTTTTGCAAAGCAGTCGAAGTTAGTAGGCATATACATACACCTGTAATTAGATTTAGATCCGATTACGAATAGTATGTTAGGGTTTGAGCTCACGGTTTTGCCTACGAATTACGTTAAGGTTTGGGCGCACGGCTTCGCACAGCAAGAAGGGAGGACCAAGGGGAGGGAATACCTGGTGTCCTGGTGGTGCTCGTCGCTGGCCAAGGTGGCGAGTGGCGAAGTAGGACAGCAGCGACGGTCGCGGGGGTTGCGAGTGGCTGCAGAGGGCGGACGTTGCGCTGGAACAGGTCGCGAGAAAGCTGGGCCCCAGGTGGTGCTCGATCGAGCGCAGTCTCCTCTCCGGGTTGCGGCACGGCGAGGGGATGGAGGAGATCGGCCGCGGGCGAGACGAGTTCAGTTGGCGGGCCAAACGTCGAGCAAAGTAAGAAAAAGCGGTGGTATCTATAGGGTGACCTCGCCTAGAGCTTACTCCTGAGCCTGTCTTCTCGAAAAATCAATTTTTTTTTAACTTTCACCAATTATATATTATAAATTATAATTATAATATTATATATATATCTATACCTAAATACCTAATAATCAAGAGGCAAAAATTTATCTCGACCTTTTTTCTTGTCTGGCCATCCCATAACTAACTCTGTGAATATAGAAAACCGCCTATAGCCCTTCTTTTTATATATAACTAGGAATCCTAATTCAATTAGATCTATCCAATTTCAGGTGAATAGGAATCTTAATTAAATAGAAAAAATATAGTAATATGGACAACTAGGAATCTTAATCCAAATGCAAAAATATAAGAATAGAAATCTAACAAAGAGGAAATAAGGGTAGAATTTCTCTGTTTCGTTTTTTTCTGTTCTTTTTTCACTTTTTTCTGGTTTGTCCGTTTTTACTTGATTGTTTTCTCCACCTGGTTTTTTTGTGTTCTAATAAATATAATAAAATTAAAAACAAACAATAAATAAGAGATCATAGCCATTTTAATCTTTGACTCCTTAAGAAACAAATATTTTCACCACTAAGTTAATTTAACTTTTGACTCGAACTCATGACCCGTGCTACAACTTATTACGTATTGGATCCCGTTGCAACGCATGAGCATGTTTGCTAGTATAATAAAAAGGTAAAATTTTTGTCCATCCATTTTTTTATCGGTCTCCCTCTAACTACTGGACAATTAAGAGTTTCTTCCGTCCAGACTTATATATAATATAACACGTGCTCATACGAGTTAGAATAGCTCTTGTCTAGCGTGATACGATGTCCTGTATCAAAACATGTTGGGTCGTGTATGTGACCCGGACTCATAAGTCATGCTCACATGCTCCTCCACCACCTCGTTCTACTACTTTTTTATATCCAGATACATGGTTAATTACTATCAGCGAGTTCAAATAAAAGTGCGTCTGTAGTTCTATTTGTTTTCATATATTCCTTCTTTCCCCGTGAGACTAATCTGACTCCAAACTACAGACAAAAAAGAACAAAACAATTTACCGAGACAAAAGAAAAAGATCGGAGTCCAAGACAAAAAAACAGAAGAAGAAAAAAAGGAAAAAAAGCATCGGACAAAAACTACAGAAGAAGAAGCGGAAAAGCAAAAACATTGAAATGAAACCACGGAAGAAAATCTACCGAGGAAAAAAGCCGAACGGAGTGTGGGTAGAAACAGGAACGCGCAGGTGAAATAAAAAAGAAAAAAAACTAAAACCAAAGAACCCTTGTTTAATATTACGATAAGAAAGGTACAAACTACATATACATCTCTATTTGGATTAGAATTTCTATTCAAATTTAGGATCAGAGAGATCTATTTGATTAGAATTTTTAGCTATCTATATATAAAACAAGAGGGTTGCAAACAAATAAAGACAGTTTGGGCCAGCGACTCTGGCCATGAGATGCACTCTGTTCGGCTCTTCAACAGCTGTGGGGGTACTGATCTGTTTTCTTCACCCTTTCTTTTTGTTTGTGCAGTGATACATCATGTCAAGTCGTGGAGCGGTGGAGGTAGTAGTAATGGCTTGTGATGTAAAATATGAACTTTTGAGTTGTGTTTGGCTCTTCCAATACTTGTGGATACTGATCTGTTTTCTTTACTTTTCCTTTTTGTTTTGTGCAGTGATACAACATGTTCCTACTAGTGACAGGCGAGTTGGAGGACTCAGGGTGCTCGTGCTCTTGAATGACGTTTTTAAGAGGAGGACACTCATGGAGGCGCTTCTATATGACTCGGGGTGTGTGTACTGTTGTTGCCACGGAGAGAGGATCGGAGATGATGGAAGCGTGAGCGCTTGAAAGGTCTAGGCCCTTGTTTGGTTTTTGGTAATTAATGACAACACTTGTGGACTAACTTCTCTATTTGAGTATGTGAATGAAAGTTGGTTTGGTTCACAAGAAAAGTTGGATATTGATATGGATTTGACTTTTAGCACGTTGGAATGCTCAAATCAAACATAGCAATCAAGTGAAACCGAAGCAAGACTTGCTACGATGGACCGTGTGCAACACGATGGTGAAGGCAAGCTAGTGGGCTTGGCGCCGATAGACCGAGGTGATGGTGAAGGACAAGTTGAGAGACTTTGGAGCGACGGACCGCACGTGGCGGAGAAACTTGAGCGAGACTTGGCGCCAAAGGACCGAGCAACAGTGAAGAGCAAGTGAGACCAAAGTCGATGGACTTGAAGTCTATGTAATGGTTTGAGTGATCCACACCATCTATGAAGATCAAGCCAAAAATTCATTGTTCATATCAAGTGGCTTGGTGAATATGTCGGACAACATTTTTCTTGCGGGCATCAAATTTGTGGTATTTGGATTTGCGCAAGGCAAAGGTATGAAACATAGGGTGTTTCATTTTACTGGCTATAAGGTGTGTAGAGAAGATTAAGATAGCTAGATTTAGGTTTGATAGCCGTACTATTAAGAGGGGCAAACATGCTTTGCTTTACGGTTATCTAGTGCCACTTGTGAGATCTAACGTGAGATACATTTAGTGGTGAGTGGCGGAAAAGTTAAAAACCTTTGTGAAAAGTTTGTCAAAAGCTAACCGGTGACGAGTTGAACGATCGCCTTGCGGGAGATCGTTTCTTGGTGTTGGCTTTCATTAAAAAAGGTTTTGAGAGCGCTAGTACTGACTTTGGAATGCTTTGGAACCCTCTATTGTGATGAAGAGTGGTGGTCGGAAGCAAAGGAGAAGAAGCGCTTGGTGGTGGTGTTCTCAGCCTAACCACATGTTGTCTAGGATTTTGCCGCGGACAGTCTGCCGCTGCCAGCTGAAGAACACAACAGATTGGAGAGCAATCTGTTCTGGGGCTGCACGTGAAAAACGGCGGACAGTCCGCGCTAGGGCGGTGGGTAGTCCGCCGGCTATTTTCTTCGACAAGCAGAGGAGCTGGACATTCTGTCCAAGACGTTGGAGGTCAACGGCGGACAGTCCGCCCCCTGGGTGCGGACAGGCCGCCAATCAAAAATTTGAATCCAATGGCTAGTTGAGTGAATGGCAGACTGTCTGAGATTTGTACTGCGGACAGGGCGGGAATGTCGTTTCAACACTGTAATGGCTAGTTTTTAGGTGCCTCTCTATATATAGTGGGGTGCCCGGTTGGAGAGGGCTCTCTTGGCCATTCTAACAGCATACTCTTTGGAGAGCACCATTCTAGCACCACCTCTCATACTCCTTGCTTGAGGGCAACATTAGTGCGAATCTTTGCGTGAGAGATTGCTTGTGGCACTAGGTGGTCGTCGTACGGGTGCGGTTGCTTGTTACTCTTGGAGCTTGCCGGTTCCTAGACGACTTGGTGACTGTGTCTCCGTGAAGCACGCAAGAAGGATTGTGCGGTGATCCGGAGTTGGCTTTGTGAGGGGCTATTGAGCTCATCCCCGCCGGAGGAAGGCAAAGAGCATCTCTAGTAAAATCGAGGCTTGTGTGGGTGTCCAGTTGATTTGGCCGGCTCAAAGTTTAGTGCTCACGTGGAGCCTACCTAATGAGGTAGTCCGAAGCTTGCGGGCTTCAAACTAACAAGAGGAGCGGCAATCCTAGAACTCACCTTAACGTGGACTAAGTGACCGGCAAGTCACCGAACCACGGAAAAATATCGTGTGTCATCCTCTACATCGTGGTTTACTCATCTCAACACAAGTTTACTTCATTGCAATATACTGTGCTTGTGTTGTTAAGTTTACCACTTTATCACTAGTATGTGTAGGAGCCCCATTGCGCTTGATCTTGTTCTAGTTGCTTAGATTGTTTGATCTTGCCAACTAGAATTGTGTAGGTGAGCTCCCTTTAGCTCGGTACCCTTACTTGCTCTCTAGCTAAATCTTTTAAGTGTGCTAGCAAATTTAGATAGAGGGATGTAGTCGAGGCTCGATCGTTTTTTCACTTCCGTTTTTAAATTGGTTAACTCTTGCGATTAATTTTTAGAAACGACTATTCACCCCCTCTAGTCGACCATCTCGACCCTATAAAGCGGTGCTGTGAAATTGATGTAAGGCAGACCCTACAAAGTGGTGCTGTGAAATTGATGTAAGTCATTGCCTTTTGCACAACGAATCGCTTGATCTTATTTCAATTATGGACTCCGTCATGGTTGGGGAAAGAAAAACGTCTCATACGGATGAACCATAATTTAAGGCTTGTAGCCAAATGGAGGCAGTATATTTTTTATGGGTTATCAAAGAAAGCAATGAAACTCGGTATTTAACTGTAGCAGCACATATAGATAGTTTAAAAATAAAAGTTATAGTATATTTACGTCATACTATTATAACTGTATTTTAATTCAATTACGTTTAGTTTTTCCCGTTGCAACGCACGGACATAATATAAAAAAAGATTAATATTTATAATACATAATTAATATTATTAGATAGATCGTTGAA